CCAAACAGAGGCCACAACATCTTGGTCCCCATAGTTACATATCCTTGCTTTCCAAAAGTAATTTTTATCCAGAGCGGACCCGGGTTCGAGTCCTGCTGGGGGTGTTGATGAGAACTAGGCGAAGTTGGAACTGCAGCCCACTCCTGTCCGGATGAGAATACCTTGCGGGAAAATTCAACTACCAGCCCTTCATGGACTTAGATGAAATAGACCGAATGCAGTTTTATATCAGATCTAATAGTACTCTGGTAAACATTTGTATAAAACTGAAACTAACATTAATCAAATGACCTTATTCGAAAATAACTGATAGTCCTGAACTCTTTTATACACTTTACACATTTTATATTGGCCAGTTGGCCTCGCCCAAGTAGATACGAGTTGGTAAAATACTGGCCAACTCTGCGGCAACACCACAAAGTGGGCCAAGAAGAGTAATACTGGCGCCCAGTCGATTGCTTGGTTTTTACGGAGCTCATTCTCACTACAACTGCCAACCCTTCGGACTTCATTCGCTTGACAACCCCTTGCTTTTACCTGCATACACTATCAATAGTCCCCGGTTGGACTGGGAATGAGTCAAGTCTGCGAGGTGCCCTCGTGGCGCAGGCTGTCTTGCAAAAGTGAGGGCCACCGAATCCTGTCAAAGCCGCTATGAACTCATATTCTGTCTGATAGATGCAAATGGAGTTGGCGACTCATCTCTTCTCTCTCACTCTACCCCTGTCTTGTGCATTCATATAGAAAGAGGCCAGTAAACAAACTCTCTTACCATTTTATTGCAGCCATCCTAGATTCACTTCAAAGTGGGTGCACTCTCATCCAGCTCCCTTCTACCATGCCTCTTTTCAACTTACTTCGCTACAGATACGATGCTATAAAATTTTACACTTACACATGCATAGCTAGAGGTATATATAAATACATTTATATATGAATATGCAAATACTTGCAAACCATAGAGAAATGTGACGAGAAGGCGGACCAATATTGGTCGGATCAGGACGGAAAGAAGGGACAACTCGAACATCCAAATGAGAAAAAGACGCTTTCATTAATCGCAAGAGTCAAAGATCAACTAAGGATGACTTTAACCGCATTGAAAATAATGGAACTTGTACTTATTTGCCCATTTTCAGCCATGCTTGACTGCCACTTCTGGAGAGTGTATTTCGAGTGTTGCCCAGACTACTGGTTAGTTAATGAGTACTGAGAAATGACTGTTTATTTCGAAGGAAAAGTTATTTGGACGGAATTCGTAAAATTGACCGACCAGAAGCTGAAAGAGGATTGATGTGGAACGGAGGTTGCCAAATTGTGAAAAGAAGTCCTCGGCTCAACTTTTCCTTCGAAAAGGAAAGTCATATCACAGTATATCACTAAGGAATACCAAAAGCGGTCATTAGCCTTTGAAATAGAATTCTACTGACTCCAAGTCTATTATGGTGATAAAGATCTGATAGTCAAATATTTGCCCCTCAAAAAGCGAAGCAATATTGAACTACCAGCCCAGCATTACTAACGATTTTATTCAAGGTGCACTGATACTTTCTGTGCCTACTCACATGCTAATAATAATATCGCAAATATAGCAAATACATATTTTCCTCAACGACAAATGGAAATTTGATAAATCTGGTTTGTCCTGAAAGTTAAGTCCGGTACCATAGGCTAAAAGCGCTGCAGCGACCAGATTTCGTTAACTGTTGAAATGGACTAATGAGACTTGGTTAAGGTTGAAGCTGCGGTCCAGGCAGGAGCAATTGAAATGTAATGGCATAGTGAGGCTTTGAGCTATTTTATTTGTGGTGAATTCAACGATCTGTCTCTGCATCATCTTAAGACTGCTTATGTGACTCGGATTATCATTTAAGCCTTAATGTTCGTCGGGCATCTATGTAAGGGCTTACTTTTGCTAATGAACTTCACGGTGCCGCGCATAGTGATTGAAAGGTTTCTTCTTTTCACTAAGTTAATTACTATGCTTGTGATCCAACTGTATTGCCCGGAAAAATGCTAAATCCAAAGCTTAAAAAAGCACGGGTTGGTGGTTTGGCAATTAAGCTTTGTTCTGTGAGAGTCTCGTAGCGCTTACGCAATTTGCCAAGTCGAATCGTCTCCAGGACGTTGAATTAGTTAGCCAGCGAGAAGATCTTTTGGATCGTTATTACATAACCGGGAAATATTTTGGAAATTGGCAGGAAAACGCATTTAAGGAAGAGGACATCCAGGTAATAGATTGCTTTGGTAGGGACTATAAGGGTTGTGGCAAGGTCCTTGCTTTGGAGATTAGATTGCTTATTTGGGTCAACTACAAAGTGTCATTTCATGAGTAGGTTTTCGAGACTACCAATAAATCATATATATGAATTATGTTTACTCTATCTCGTTTAAGGTGATTAAGTCTCGAAAACCTACTCACTTACGAAAAAAGTAATTTCGTCGATTGCTGTAGCAAATATAAGTTTGCTTCATCGACAATCTCAACATAGAATGTGATTTGTAAAAGGCCTGACAATTCTTGAAATTCACATTTGCCCTGTAGCCCAAGGGCACTCCTGGCAATGTGGCGTAGTGGTTAATGTGTCAAACTTAAACTCCGCACTGCCATGGTTCGACTCCCGCCTGTGATGTTGATAAGACCTATGCGAGATCGAAACTGCAGTCCACCCTGAATGAGAACACTTTTTATGAAAACAAGGCTATGTGAAATTCAGTGGAAAACATCAGCTCTATGCATATAATTGTGTAAAAAATCAGCTGTCAGTCCTTCATCCCCTTAAACTAAATAGGTTGAACACAAATCATATATGCCATCTCATGCAACTGATACCTCCTTCGAGAATTGCAAGTGGCACCAACTGTAGGTCCTTGAAAATCGAATCGTCAGCCAGTACACCTTGTCTTTTGGCTGACTTCAAGTGGCCATTATCCTCCTCCAATGCCGTCAAACTAATCCGGCTGTCTTCTCCGAAAGCATTTGACAATGCTCCTACAAAAACCCTTCCAAAGTCTAGACAGGTTTAGATGGTATCATATCTCCTAATTGATTCCATAGCAGAGCTTAAACTCGTGTAACCGCCACATGGTTTGTTCCTGCTAGTTACAGGATTCTAGAGGCCTCACGTGACACTTCGGTACAATAAGTTACATTGTATACGAGGATGCAGAAGTGTTAGTTGGAATAGAGTAGATCATACGATGCCAGTTACTTTCACACTATCATACCTCCAAAAAGGGAGTTTTCGCCATCTCTTCAGAATCAACTATAAGATTAACAGCCGTGTCATGTACATCATCTGGCGACACTTTATCATTACGTCGCAACCACAGGTGCCAGGGGTGACAGGGCAGAAGTGACCTCACGATAATTTAGGCCTCTTTCAAATCATAATTATAGTTGGATTTTGGATAGTACACGCTCATAGACGAGAAGTGGGTAGGTTTTAAGACTATGAATAGGCCTTAAAAATAACTTTGGGCATTTCGGATCCTTTAAGATGATGGAGAAATGATAATTAAAGTTTCTTACCGCAAAATATGTGAGCAATTTTAAAAGCTTAAAGGGCACATCCTTCATCTAGACTACTGGTACCATTGACTGTGTGGCAAAGTTGAAACTTGTAGCAACTTTACTCGCACAAATTGATTTCAAATGCAGTTGGGATGATGATCTTATAATTAAATAAAGTATGCAATCTTTTTACTTTTAAGCGACTCCTCGATCTATAGCTTAGCTATGGAATCTCACATTGCAATCATTTTTCTACGTAGTCAATACATGTTTGAGATGACCTGGTGGGTTTATTATTTATTGGTGCTTCGTTTGGGTGTCACTCATCGTGTATAAAGTTCTGAGTCAGTGGTTTGCTTTTTAAAAGATGAAAATCTTGATTTATACGTAGTAATCTTAGAAAAACAAGCCAACAGAATGTAAAAGATGCATCATTAATTTTGTAGCTTTTCTGGAGTTTACCACAACCATCTTATACTTAATACTTTTCTGACTTTGAAACACAACAGTTCAAATTGTGACCTGACTCTGCATTTCGGAGGGACAGTTGGTTGGAAGGAATTCGTGATGTGGTCTTATGGGAAATCAAACAAGGATTGCCGAGTAGGAAAGACTGTAAAACTGTGCTAAGAAATCCTCTGCTCACCGTCCTGCGGCCGCGATGAAGCCGTGTTAAGCTTTCATCTATACCGTGACACACTTCATCAGAGCAATAATCCGTAATTTATGAAATGAAGCAAGAATATACTAAACCAAGTTGGAAGAATGTATACTAGTTGTGAATAGGAATCCATTATATGCGAAGAAAAGTTGGGTTTCGATAAATCTCCTTGTTTCATAATTGTTGAGCTTACTTCCATTTCGAGTGAAAGTGC